CATCACCCCAAGAGATTTCATTTCTTTACCCACTCATCCAGCCACAGACCCATTTGCCCACCCACTCATCCATCCACCCATTAACCTACCCATGCACCCATCCACCTACTATCCATCTACCCACCTGTTCACCTATCCACCCACCCACCCATTCATCCATCCACTATCCACCCATCCACCCATTCACTCATAATCCATCCACCCACCCATTCATTCATCTACCCATCCACCCACCCAGCCACCCATCCATTCATCCATACAGCCAGCAAGCCAGCCACCCACCCAGCCTCCCATCCACCCATCCACCCAGCCACTATCTATCCATCCATCCACCCACCCATCCATCTCTCCATCCATCCACCCATCCACCCATCCATCCACCCATTCACCCATGCATCCATCCATCCATCCATCCACCCATCCACCCATCCATCCACCCATCCACCCATCCATCCATCCATCCATCCATCCATCCCTCCATCCATCCATCCACCCATCCACCCATCCACCCCCACCCATCCATCCATCCATCCATCCATCCATCCATCCATCCATCCATCCATCCACCCATCCATCCACCCATCCACCCATCCATCCACCCATCCACCCATCCATCCATCCATCCATCCATCCATCCACCATCCATCCACCTATCCATCCATCCATCCATCCATCCATCCATTCACCTATCCCTCCCTCCATCCATCCATCCATCCATCCATCCACCTATCCCTCCCTCCCTCCATCCATCCATCCACTATCCATCCATCCATCCATCCATCCACCCATCCACCCATCCATTCACCCATCCACCCATCCATCCACCCATCCACCCATCCATCCATCCATTCATCCATCCACCCATTCATCCACTATCCATCCATCCATCCATCCATCCACTATCCATCCATCCCTCCATCCATCCCTCCATCCATCCATCCATTCATCCACCCATCCACCCATCCACCCATCCATCCACTATCCAACCATCCAACCATCCATCCATCCACTCATCATCCACCCATCCCCCTATCCTTCCCCATCCCTCCCTTCTTCCCTCCCTCCCTCCCTCCCTCCACCACCACCCAGCGACCCAGAAATAAATTTACTGAGCACATCTACTGTGAAGCTGGCCCATGGAGGAGCCCACATAGGCTGCTGTCCTCAAGGCACTTATAGAAAAAAGGTCAGCAGTGGTACACATTGTGGCCAGGGTGGTGAGGACAATGGTCAGGGCAAGGGCATGACACTTGGGCCAGATCTCGAGGTGGGGGTGACTGCCCAGAGGTGGCTGGTCTTCTGAAGCACAGTGGCCCTTTCCTCATAGGAAGGCCAGCCCAGCGGACACCTACCCCGTGGAGCCCAGGCCAAGAAGCCCACATTGCTGACTTGGCCTCTCCCCATTCTTACCCAGAATAAATACCTCTGTGTGCTTACACACCCACCCTTTACACCCAGCTGTGGGGTGGGTAAGTTAACATCCTACTAGTAAACCCTTGCAGTCCAGTGGCAGATGATGTGGGACCTGAGCTTTGCACACCCCAGATCTTTCGGAATCTTTGAAGGTGCAGGAAGTGGACATGCTGCGATGTCTGAGTTCCCCTTTCTGATGTCTTGGGGAGGACATGGGGAGGAAGTGAGCATGGCTGGTGCTTTGTTTGTCTGCTCTTGAGTCCTAAGATACTCACTTGCCAGGGACTCTGTCCCTGTGGCTGGCTGGGACTGGAGTCTCCCTGGGTGTCCATGGGATGAGAACCCAAGATTTCTCTGGGCACACCCTCCATCTGCCTGATGAGGCTTGGTCAGAGCTGTGGAACTGGGTTTGGGCCTAGGGTCTGAGAAGGGTATATATACATATATAAGAGAGAGAGAGACAGAGATTTATTTTAAGGAATTGTGGGGGCTGCAAATCTGAAGCCTCAGGGTGGGCCTGCAGGCTGGACACCAGGGAAGAGCTGATGTTGCAGCTCTAGACCAAAGGCCATCTGGAAACAGAATTCTTCCCTCCTAGGGGACCTCCTTCTTTCCCTCTTAAAGCCTTCAACTGATTGGATGAGGCCTACCCACATGAAGGTTGGTCTAGTCACATCTAAAACATACCTTCACAGCAACATCTAGACTGGTGTTTTATTGGTACCATGGCCTAGCCCTGTTGACACATAAAATTAACCTTTACACTAGGTGACTCAAAACGGGGGTTTGGTGGGCTGGGGACACACCTGCTATCTTCAGGTCCCCCCGACAGGTGTGAGGCTTCCTCTTTTCTCTCCACAACATTCCTTTCTTTTCCTCCCCTCCCCTACAACCCCCATGCCCCTCACCCCCATTCCCTCCCCTACAACCCTCCCCCACAACCCCTCCACTTCCTGGTGGGTCAGGTTTGTGGACAGAAAACAGTGAGACACTCACTTTAGGCTGTTTCATGACGTCTTTGTGGCCTCCTCCCTGTGGTAAATTCGTGCAATCCTTGGGAGCAGTGTCTTGTCAGGGTAAACACTGCTGGGTGTGGGGCCTGGCAGGGAGGCTCCGGGTGTCCCGGGCCCTGTGCTGGGGGGTCTGCCTGCTTGGGCAGTCAGCATCTCCTCAACAACCTCCCGGCTGCAGCTGGGCAGGGCTGTGTCCTCCACGGAGGACTGGGGATGGGGGGGGTCCCCGTGGGTCCCAGGGGGAGAACACGCTCCAGCTGTAGAGGGGACACTTCCAGAGACACATCCACATCTGTCCACGTGGTAGAGGTGATAGGGGTATGTGTCTCAGTGTACCAGGCGTCAGTGGCCCTATTTGGGCATTTCCGTCCTGTATTGTAGCAGAGCCTGCACCCTGATTCACCTGTAAGGGACCCCACAACCACAGTGAGAAAGTCCAGCTGGCTGTGGGCACTGACCAGGGATCGGAGGGTGGCGCCGACCCAGACTTTGCTGGGGGCAGTGGGGCGATGTGGGTCACCCCAGCCTGACGGAGCGTTCACCAGCACCTTCTGCAGGCTCCTTCCCACCGCACACTCTGAGCCTCCACCCCATGCCTGGCGGCCTGATGTCACTGCTCCTTGGAGCCCCACATGAGACCATGCAACTTGGCCAGGAGTGTTAGGGTCAGACCTCTGGGCCTCAGGTCAACACTGCTGCCCCACCCATAGGAGATATAGGGCTGCCTTTCTCAGACCCCAGTAGTGGACTCCCACCTTCTCAGTCCCAGGGGAGGACCCCACTTCTCCATCCCGGGGAGGACCCCACCTTCTCAGTCCCAGGGGAGGACCCCACTTCTCCATCCCGGGGAGGACCCCACCTTCTCAGTCCCAAGGGAGGAACCCACTTCTCCATCCCAGGGAGGACCCCACCTTCTCAGTCCCAGGGGAGGACCCCACCTTCTCAGTCCCGGGGAGGACCCCGCTTCTCCATCCCAGGGGAGGACGCCTCTCATGCTCAGGGCAGGAGGGGCTAGGCTGGGTGTCCACTATGGGGCCAGGATTTCTCTGAATCCTACTAGGGCAGAGGAAACCTGTCATGGAAAATCACTGCCTCTGGGGGGAGTGAGGGGGTCCCGTCCTTGGGTTTCCCCAGGGCTCACTGCCAGCCTGTTTGGCCCCACAGGGAAGTGGACAATGGGCCCACGGGCCCGTCTGGCTCTGGTTTCTAATCCCTGTTGCTCCTGGCTCAGGCCACACACTCGTGCCTGGGTCCCTGGGCTCCTACAGAGAGGACGGTTCCTGGGCCTGGGGTTGGGCAGTGGGATGCGAGAAGGGGCTTCATCCCAGGCTCCCTGGGAGCGGCAGGCTCCCTGACCTTGGCTCCCGGTTACTCTGTCAGACCCTGGGGGACTGGCTCCTCGATGGGACCCCCAAGGAATCGTCAGGTGATGCATGCACGCTTCTTGTCCCTAGATGCTGTCACGGTGGCGTGGAGGTCCTGTCTGCAGAGAGGGGCCCCTGGAAGGTGGTAGGCCAAGGTGCCGACTCCTGCCGGGCACTTGCTCCTGGTCATATCTCTGAGAGGAGACTGGGTCAGGCAAACAGCGTGTCCCATGCCCCCATCCCGAGGGTGTCCATCTCGTCCAGAGTCTCAGTGATTGTTGACATGAGTCTCTCCCCACTTGCCCTGAAGATTGGGGACACTAGATTATAATTTGTGGAGTCCGAGCCCACTCGGTTCTCTCTGTACTTCCCAGAAGAGGAAGCTCTGGACCCGCAGGGGAGGCCGCCAGCCTGGGGCTGCCTCCGGACCACAGGCCCCTCAGGGACGTCCACTCCCAGCCTCCAGCCAGGCCTCCTATGCCCCAGAGGATGTGTTTCAGTTAGGCGCCCGTGGGCTGGGCTCCCAAGTTCCAATTACAGGTAATTCCAGAGACTGGCTCAGCCTGGGAACACGAGGGGATTAGAGGGTGTGCCGGAGCTGGGGGCCGGACGTGGAGCTGCCAGCCGAAACGGGCCCAGGAGCAGAGTCCACACCGAGATGGGGCGGCCCCTGGACCTCCCGGGAGCCCACACGTTCCCTGGCTTGGGGGCCTCGGGCCCGTGGTAGGGGAGGCTGGGGGATCAGAGTGGGAGAGAGGAGCAAACACGGGGCAGTGGTCCTGTCTGGGAGCCCCCCCGTGGGGAAGCGCCTCGTTCAGGCCTGGCTCTGCGAGGACGCTGGGCAGGGTGGGCTGGGGCCGGGAAGGGCATGTGCCTGCCAGGGTGTGGTGGTGTAGGGCCTGCCGCTGGGCCCAGTCCTGCTCGCAGCTGGGAGGGCGTGTGTTGGAGCTGGGGTCACCGGTGCTGAGGCATCCCGAGGAGGGCTAGCTTTACTGAGGGCTCAATAAAAAGATAAACCGCAGATAACTTGAATCAATATTTCCCGGGTGGCACCTCGGGAGCCCCCACAGCTGTTTTCTTGATAACCTGGCAAACGCCCCACCCACCCCTCGCCCCTCCCCTGCTCTCCCCGCCTCTGCCGGCCCTCCTGGGCCATATAAGGCCTGGACCCCTGCCCCAGTTGCTCTCCCTGCCGCCCTTCTGAGCCACCATGGGGCTGCCGCTAGTCCGCCTGGTGGCCGTCTGCCTGGCCCTGAGCTCCTCTGGGGGTGCAGAGCTCCAGAGAGGTGAGAGGCAGCAGGAAGGCCGGGGCGGCCCAGAGCAGAGGTTCTACCTGGGAGTAGGTGACCCTCCTCTGCCCAGCCTTTGGGGGTGTACCGCTTGGGTCGGGCATCCTGCCCCCAAGCCCTGCTGACTTTGGGTGGAGGAAAGGAAGGAGGGCAGGTAGTCTTGGGTTCACGCCATCCCTTTGAAGGCGATCTCCTGGCTCGGGAGGTGCTACCTGGTGGAAACCCCTGTGCTGGGCCTTTGTCCAGGGGTGTGTGGGGGAGGTAGGGGCAGCCAAGAGGGGCTGGGTGTCAGGGACCCTCGGAGGGCCAAGGCCAAGATGGCCCTTCTGCAGAGTGTCTGGCACATGATGAAGGGGTCGTTCCAGAAAAGACTGGTCACGTTAGTTGGGGACATCTCCATCCCATGTGGGTTGGGTGACAAAGCCACTGGAGGGGAGCTGGCCTCAAATGTTTGGACACGATGTGGGCACCGTCTGAGGGTGCAGGGGCGCAGTCCTGCTGGATTAGGGGCTGTGAGAGCAGCAGGGGGGTACGCAGATTCTGGCAGTGACAGGGTCGGGGACACTGGGCTGAGTGGAGAGGGCGCCCGGGGGTCCGGAAAGCCCCTCTGCCCCCGCTGCCCGCCTGGCAGATGGCTGCATCCTGTGCCAGGCTGGGGTGCGAGGGTGTGGCAGCTGGAGATGTCCTTCTGGGGGGCTGAGACCCCCAGGCAGGGTGACCAAGGTCCAGCAGGGGCCACTCTGACAGGATGGCCTCACGGAGGGTGCTCGGAGGGCGGCTGCAGGGCGGGGCCTTGGGACAGGCCTCCAGGGGGCAGCGCAGGCTGCTCACCCCTGCGTGCCCCTGCTCCCCCAGAGGGCAGGACCCGGAACCACGGCCACAGCGTCTGCAGCACTTGGGGCAACTTCCACTACAAGACCTTCGACGGGGACGTCTTCCGCTTCCCGGGCCTGTGTGACTACAACTTCGCGTCCGACTGCAGGGTCGCCTACAAGGAGTTCGCAGTGCACCTGAAGCGGGGCTCGGGCAGCACCGGGGGGCACCCCCAGCTCGAGCACATCCTGCTGAACATCGGGGACGACACCATCTACCTCACCCGCCATCTGGCTGTGGTCAACGGGGCCACGTGAGTGTGGCTGGGTGGCGGCGGGCGCGAGGGCTCCCCGCCCCTCCCCTGGGGGCCCCAGGCAGCATCCACCCTCTGCCCTCTGCCCTCCGAGTGAGGAGGCCCTCCTGTTACCCAGGCTCTAGTTACAGAAGGGGGAGCCCGTGGGAGCCCCTCCTGCTCCCAGGCAATTGTCCCCCATTGTCTCTGGAACAATGCGGCTCTAAGCTGCATTCCTGCCCAGCCTCCAGCAGGGTCCGTCCTTTGTCTCCCGCAGTCTCGGAGGTGTGGGTACAGACTTGGGGCGAGCTAGCACCTGGGCCAGCCTGGGTCAGGCGGTGGGCAGAGCCCGGCTCTAAGGACAGGGCCCTGAGGAGGGGCGGGGCCGGAGAGACAGGCAGGCAGGGGGTGGACAGGGGCTGTCCTGCCATGGCCCACCACGCCGTCTGTGGTCCCCGCACGGCTGGCTGGGAGCTGAGGCCACCCCACCCACCCGACGTACAGCCTCAGGCCCCCCCAGCCCCGCCTTGGGCAGGGGATGGTGGCGGGCCGGCTGCGGTGGGTGGCCATGTGGGCTGGCGTGTGACCCTGGCCTGGCGCCCCTGCCCCAGGGTCAGCACCCCGCACTACAGCTCTGGGCTGCTCATTGAGAAGAGCGACGCCTACACCAAGGTCTACTCCCGCGCTGGACTTACCCTCATGTGGAACCGGGAGGACTCACTCATGGTGCGTGCAGCCCCACCATGGGCCTGGGGCCGGGGTGCCTCCACCAGGTCTGAGCCTTGTCCTGAGGGGTTCGGCCGTGGCGGGGGGGCGCTGTGGAGGAGCAGAGGTGGGGCCGAGCAGCCCACCCAGGGAGGGGACCCTCGGGGCCTGGGGAGCTGGGCTGGCCCTCCCCCTGTCCCAAGCCCCTCCTGGTCCTCAGTGACCCCTGGTGCCAGGACACCCTGGCCTGACTCCAGCTCTCCGGTGGATGTCACTTGGAGGAGCTGCTGAGGCTGGCCTGGCCACGGGAGGCTCATCCGGCTGCTGCGGCCTGGGGTCCAGCCGGCCCCCAGCCCCTCACCTGCTTCCTTTTCCGCCAACAGCTAGAACTGGACAGTAAGTTCCGGAACCACACGTGTGGCCTCTGCGGGGACTACAATGGCCTGCAGACCTACTCCGAGTTCCTGTCTGAGGGTGAGGGCCTCCCCGGGGATGGGGGCGGTGGGGCGGTGGGCTGTGAGGGCTCTGGGCGCCCCCTGCTGACGGGCTGTGCCCCCAGGCGTGCTCTTCAGTGCCCTCGAGTTTGGGAACATGCAGAAGATCCACAAGCCCGAGGTGGAGTGCGATGACCCCGAGGAGACGCCGGCCCTCGAGTCCTGCTCTGAGCACGTGAGTCGCGGCCCGAGTTCCCGGGTGCAGGCGTTCTAGGGACAACACGGAGAAGGGGTGGGTGTGGGAAGCCCTCACCTTGCTCCTGCTCCTGTGTGTCTGCAGCGCGCTGAGTGCGAGAAGCTGCTGACAGCCGCGGCCTTCGAGGACTGCCTGGGCCTTGTGCCGCTGGAGCCCTACGTGCAGGCGTGCGTGCGGGACCGCTGCGGGTGCCCGGCGGGCTCCTCCTGCACCTGCAGCACCCTCGCTGAGTTCTCCCGCCAGTGCTCCCATGCGGGCGGGCAGCCCCGCAACTGGAGGACCGCCGAGCTCTGCCGTAAGCGCCACGGAGCCGCCGGGATGGTGGGGCGGCAGGCACCCTTGGGGCCCCAAGGCTGGGGGCGCCGTCTGGGGGGCAGGGCAGCCCAGCGCCCTGGTCTGGGAGGAGCTGCGTCTGTGCCCACCAGGCGGCGGGGTGGCCCGGGTGGAGGCGTGTGAGGCAGCAGTCGGCCGAGCCGGTGCCCCGCTCCCCCGCCCGCTGCACTCCCCTCCCCACTCAGGGGCCTGCCTTTGCCCTCCTAGCCAAGAGCTGCCCCGGGAACATGGTTTACCTGGAGAGCGGCTCGCCCTGCATGGACACCTGCTCACACCTGGAGGTCAGCAGCCTGTGTGAGGAGCACCGCATGGACGGCTGTTTCTGCCCAGAAGGTGTGTGCTGTGGAGGCCGCAGGGCAAGGGGTGGGGGCGCTGCCCCGATGTGGTCCCCCAGGCCAGCGTGCCCTGGGACCAGGGGGCAGCTGTGCAGGTGGTGGGGGCAGCGACAGGGGCGGAAGCGAGGTGTGGTGCCCCCTCCCCTGGCGAATGCCGAAGACCCCCTCCCCCCAAACACACACAGTGGTGGCTTTGGGGGGTCTGGATGGGGGAGACTCCTTCCTGGTCATCACCCCATGGGCACACGTCCTGCTGCCCCGCTCACGGAGCCTGGAGGCCCCCAGGAAGGTGGTCTGGAGGCCAGGCTCCCATGGCATGGTGGGGGGCACCGAAGCAGAGGTACCTGTCGGGGGGCGGAGAAGGCCTGGCCGGCGACCCCACCTTGGGGCTCGCCCCACTTTCCGCACGCCAGCCCGGGGCTGTGGCCCCGCCAGTGGGAGCCCCGCCGTGGGGATTCTGGGCTTTCTGAGGCTGGCCGGCTGTAACGTCGTGTCCCGCACCGTCCAGGCACCGTGTACGATGATATCGCAGGCCTCGGCTGCGTCCCCGTGAGCCAGTGCCACTGCAAGCTCCACGGGCACCTGCACTCACCTGGCCAGCGCATTAGCAGCGACTGCGAGGAGTGGTGGGTCGGGGGCCCAGGGCTGGGGGCCGGCGGGCTCGGGGGGAGCAGGGCCAGTGGGCAGGGCTGGGGGGCGGCTGAGCCTCATGTCATGCCTCACCGCCCACAGCATCTGCACCGCCGGCCGCTGGGTGTGCGAAGACCTGGCGTGCCCAGGCACCTGTGCCCTGGAGGGCGGCTCCCACATCACCACCTTCGATGGGAAGAAGTACACCTTCCACGGGGACTGCTACTATGTGCTGATCAAGGTAGCTGGCCGGGCGGCGTGCGGGCTGAGCGGGGGCCTGGCCCCGCGTCAGGCTCCGAGTCGGTCACTGCCACCACCCCGTCCCCCGCAGGGCGACCACAACGACTCCTATGCCCTCCTGGGCGAGCTGGCCCCCTGCGGCTCCACGGACCAGCAGACCTGCCTGAAGACAGTGGTGCTGCTGGCCGACAGCAGGAAGAACGTGGGTGCCCCCGCCCCAACCCTCCCTGCCCCGCACCCCGGGGCCCCCGAGGCCCTTCTCAGCCTGGCCGTCCCCTCTGCCCCTCCCGCAGGTGGTGGCCTTCAAGTCGGACGGCAGCGTCCTGCTGAATGAGCTGCAGGTGAACCTGCCCCACGTGACGGGTGAGTCCCGCCCCTGGAGCAGGGTCTGCTGGCGGGAGAGCGGTCCCCACAGCTCGAGAGCCCCTGCTGACCAGCCAGGACCCCCCTGCCTTGCAGCCAGCTTCTCCATCTTCCAACCGTCCTCCTACCATCTCATGGTGAGCACCGCCTTCGGCCTCAGGCTGCAGGTCCAGCTCGTGCCCGTCATGCAGCTCTTCGTGACGCTGGACCAGGCTGCCCAGGGGCGCGTGCAGGGTGAGTGGTGCCCTCGGCTAGCCCCCACAGAGGCCCTGCTCAGGGCCTGCCCCCCGGAGCCCTGTCCTTTCCCAACCCTGTGCTGGCCCCTCAGGTCTCTGCGGGAACTTCAACGGCCTGGAAGGGGATGACTTTAAGACAGCGGGCGGGCTGGTGGAGGCCACGGGGGCTGGCTTCGCCAACACCTGGAAGGCCCAGTCGAGCTGCCATGACAAGCTGAACTGGCTGGACGACCCCTGCTCCCTCAACATCGAGAGCGGTGAGGCTTGGGCCTCGTGGGGCACGTGGGGCTCCCAGGGGGACGTGGTGGGTAGGTGGGGGCGGGTGAGGCCGGGTGGCCAGCCCATCCACCTGAGGCTTTCTGCCACGTGGCTGGTTTATGGTGGCCCACGGTGGCAGCCCGCCAAGAGACACAGCAAAGGGGCCAGGCCCGCTCGTTAATCACTGGGTGGTGGCCCTCGTCCTGGGGCTGGTCTGGTGCCATGACATGCTGCCCCCCACATCAGGGTCGGTTGAGGGAGGGGAGGCGGTGGGTGCCCCACCTTACGAGGGGTGTGGTCTTGCACTGGGCTGGAGGGGCCTGGGTGGCCAGGCGGCTGGACTCAGGGGATGTGCTGGAGAGGGCTGCCCCTGCTGAGGTTCTGACCCCTTCTCCAGCCAACTATGCCGAGCACTGGTGTTCCCTGCTGAAGAAGACAGAGACCCCCTTTGGCAGGTGCCACTCAGCCGTGGACCCCTCGGACTATTACAAGGTGGGTGGGACCTGCACATGCACTGCTCACCACCTGATCCGTGCCAGCAAGTTGTGCTCTGTGCCCCGGGCTGAGCCTGACCCCTGCCTGTAAGGCTGCTGCTGGAAGTTGCTGAGCTTGTTTGTGCAAGCACACGTATGTGCATGTATGTGCACCTTGCAGGGATGTAGGCCTGTGTGTGTGTGTGCACAGATGTCACTGTGTGCAGGTGGGTGTGCATGTGGGTGTCTGTGTGTGCACACAGGGGTGTGCCGCCCGCTTCCTTCCCTCACTGCCTGTCCCCCTCACCCCCAGAGGTGCAAATATGACACGTGTAACTGCCAGAACAGCGAGGGCTGCATGTGTGCTGCGCTGTCCTCCTACGCCCGCGCCTGCGCCACCAAGGGCGTCATGCTGTGGGGCTGGCGGGAGCAAGTCTGCAGTGAGTGCCGCCCCTCTGGGGCGTCCGGGGTGCCCTGTGGCGGGAGGGGTCAGCCCGCTGCGGCCACCCTCTGCTCCTCTTGGCTTGTGGCCCCCAGTGTGGGGCAGGGGCTCCCGTGGGCTCCCGTGGGCCCCTTGGCTGGGCAGGCATCTGCCTGTCCTGGACAGAGGGGAGCTTGGGGACGGCCAGCGGGGACGGAGCTGGGGTGGCTGGGGGCCGCCCCTCCGCTCCTCACACGGGCCCCTCCCCTCTCCGCAGACAAGGATGTGGGCTCCTGCCCCAACTCACAGGTGTTCTTGTACAACCTGACCACCTGCCTGCCCACCTGCCGCTCGCTCTCTGAGGCCGACGCCCACTGCCTTCAGGGCTTCGCGCCCGTGGACGGCTGTGGCTGCCCAGACGGCACCTTCCTGGATGAGAAGGGCCACTGCGTGCCACTGGCCAAGTGCTCCTGCTACCACCGGGGCCTCTACCTGGAGGCTGGGGAAGTGGTGCTGAGGCAGGAGGAACGCTGGTGGGTGGCCTGGGCTGGGTGGGGAGGGCCCACATCCTGCCCGCGTCCCCGCGCCACCGGCGTGTCCGTCCCTGCCCCCAGGAGCCAGGCCCGCTCACCTCCGCCCTCTTCCCCTCAGCGTCTGCCGCAACGGGAGGCTGCAGTGCGTGCGGGTCAGGCTGCTCGGCCAGAGTAAGTAGATGCGGCGGCCGCACGGCTTCCTGCCCTGCCCCCCCGGCCTTGCTGGCCCCACCCCTGCCCCAGCTTCCGTTGAGCCAAGGGGCCCCCTCTGTCCCACAGGCTGCTCGGCCCCAAAGATCCACGTTGACTGCAGCAACCTGACAGCGCTGACCATCCAGAACTTGCGGCCTACCAGCTGCCAGACGCTGGCTGCCGGCCACGTGCGTGTGGGGGGCCACCAACGGGGGAGGGCGTGGACAGCTTCCACACTGGCCCTGGGGTCTGGATGCCGGGTCCTGACACACACGGGCCTCATTGGCCCCCCCCGTCCCTGGGGGCCCCCCGCCCAGCCCACAGAGGGCTCGGGGCCAGTGTAGGGACCCCTGGCTGGCAGCCCTCGCCTGTCTCCCGGCCCAGGGCTGAGCCCGAGAGAGGAGACAGGACAGGGGTCGAGTGGGGAAGGGACAAAGGGGGTGTCTGCTGTGCGAGGAGAGGGGGCAGCCACGGGAAGGGCCGACTTGGCCATTCGGGGCCTGAAGCCCACTCTCCGGCCACCTGCAGTATCAGACCGAGTGTGTCAGCGGCTGTGTTTGCCCGGAAGGGCTGATGGACGATGGCCGTGGCGGCTGCGTTGTGGAGGAGGAGTGCCCGTGTGTGCACAACACAGACCTGTATTCTCCTGGGGACAAGATCAAGGTGGACTGCAACACGTGGTGAGTGGCCGGCCCCAGGCGCTCTGGCGGGAGCATCCACCCTGACGGGGTGGAGGTGTGGTTCGTGAGCCGCCGGCGGGGACGTCCACGCGGCGCCAACTCGGCCAGGCTGCCCTCCGAGCAGCGGGGGAGGACCTGGGCCCCTGCGGCCCCTCCAGGCCCCCTTCCCACTCTCCTCAGCACCTGCCAGAGAGGGCGCTGGACGTGCACCAAGTCGCTGTGCTACAGTTCCTGCTCCATCTACGGGAGTGGCCACTACATCACCTTTGATGGGAAGTACTACGATTTCGACGGACACTGCTCCTACGTGGCGGCTCAGGTGAGGCCCAGGGCGTGCCCGGCCCTGGTCCCGTGGCCCCCGCACCACATCCTGAGCTGCTGCCAGCCCAGTGAGGGGGCCCCGGGGAAGGGGCTGGGGTGGGGGGGGTCCTCCCGTTCTGGGACCCTCCCATGCTGCGCGCGGAGTGAGGGGCTCGTGTGTGGGGTTAAGGACCCCATGCCGCATGGTTACCCCTCTTACCAGAGGAGGGCTGTGGGTGGGCAGAGCCCAGCTGGGGTGGGGCCGGGGGCACCAGTGGCCTGGCCGGTCTGGCTCATGTCCTCTCTGGGTACCCAGGACTACTGTGGCCAGAACTCCTCCTCGGGCTCCTTCGGCATCATCACCGAGAACGTTCCCTGTGGCACCACGGGTGTCACTTGCTCCAAGGCCATCAAAATCTTCTTGGGGGTGAGTGCCGCCTGACCCTGGGGACACGTGAGCCCTCGGGGACCCTCGGACTCGGCTAGTGACAGGGCCTCTCACCCGGGCGCAGAGGACGGAGCTGAAGCTGGAGGACAAGCGCCGCCTGGTGATCCAGCGGGACTCGGGCCACCACGTGGCCTACACCACCCGGGAGGTGGGCCAGTATTTGGTGGTGGAGGCCAGCATCGGCATCATCGTCATCTGGGACAAGAAGACCACCATCTTCATCAAGCTGGCCCCGTCCTACAAGGTGCGTGGCGGCCTCACCTGCCTGGCCTTCCTGCTGGGGGAGGGGATGAGCCCCCCACTCTCAAGCCCGCTCACGGAGCCCCCGGCTGGCTGTCTCTGCAGGGCACAGTGTGCGGGCTGTGTGGGAACTTTGACCACCGCTCCAGCAACGACTTCACCACGAGGGACCACATGGTGGTGGACAGTGAGCTGGACTTCGGGAACAGCTGGAAGGAGGCCTCCACCTGTCCGGACGTGAGCGTCACCCCGGATCCATGCGCCCGGAACCCTCACCGCCTCTCCTGGGCCGAGAAGCAGTGCAGCATCATCAAGAGCTCTGTCTTTGGCATCTGCCACAGCAAGGTGCGGCGGGCCGGGGGCGGGCCCGTGAGAAGCCCGTGGCCGTGGGCTCACACTGGGGAGTCACCCTGCTGCCACCACGTGGCACCTTGACTGCAGCTTCCGCACCACCTTCTGTCCTTTGACGAGAGGTCCAGCCTTCCCCGAGACCCCTGGCTTGCCCCCTCCTCCTGCACCTTCCAAGGAGGGAGGAAGGACGCCTGCAGCGCCAGGCCATGGGCGGTGGCGGGGAGGGTTGGCCCACCTGTCTCCGGACGTCCCCCGCCAACCCCCCTGGGAGGCTAGCGCTGGGCGGTTGCATCCTGTCCCGGGGTCCGGAGCTCCTGGGCAGGTCTGGCCCCATGTGGGCAGTATGGGCTCAAGGCACACAGAGTCTTCTCCCCCAGGTGGACCCCAAGCCCTTCTACGAGGCCTGCGTCCACGATTCGTGCTCTTGCGACACAGGCGGGGACTGTGAGTGCTTCTGCTCTGCCGTGGCCTCCTACGCTCAGGAGTGTACTAAGGAGGAGGCCTGCGTGTTCTGGAGGACACCAGACCTGTGCCGTGAGTGTCCCCCATCCTGGAGCGGGGGACTGTGCTGTGCTCGGGAAGTAGTCCTCACCCATCAAAGCGATGGGTGTGTGGGGGCTCCTTTCTGCCTCCCTGGCCCCAGGGGCCAAGTGTTGCCCCTCGGGGGCTGTGCCGGCCTGGCCTCGGCCCTCTCTGAATCTGACCCCTCCCCCTCCCCTGCAGCCATATTCTGTGACTACTACAACCCCCCGGACGAGTGTGAGTGGCACTATGAGCCCTGTGGGAACCGCAGCTTTGAGACCTGCAGGACCATCAACGGCATCCACTCCAACATCTCCGTGTCCTACCTGGAGGGTGAGCAGGCCTCAGGGGCGGAGGGACGGTGACCCCACGAGAGATGCCCCGTGGGGCTGGGGACCTGAGGTCCAGGTGGGCCAGGCTCACCTTGCTGTAGAGTGCGTTCACGGAGCTAAGAGAGCCAGAAAGAACCCAGGAAACTGCAGAGTTAGACAAGGCAGTGTGTCCCAGACACGGGTCTGGGGGACTCTTCAGGGCTTTTGAGCCAAGAACTAGGGGCATGATGGAGTAAGCCACCTCTGGGGAGGGAGCATCCTAGCCTGTGGGAGGGAGGCAGGGTCAGGAGGCTGGGGTGGGTGCTGGCTGTCCCTTTGGCCACATGTGGCGGGGTGTAGGGCTTAGTTGGGGGGGGTCCTGGCCCCTGTCCTTTTGTTCTCTGGCCTTTCCTGGAGGAATATCCTGGAGAGAAGGACCTGCCGTGGTGGGGACAGTGGGTGGGGTCTGGTGGTCGTGGGACCTTCCTCAGTGGTCCAAGCCCTGTGGCCCGTGCCCGCCAGGCTGCTACCCCCAGTGCCCGAAGGACAGGCCCATCTATGATGAGGACCTGAAGCTGTGCGTCACGGCGGACAAATGTGGCTGCTATGTCGGGGATACTCGTTACCCACCTGGAGGATCCGTTCCCACCAACGAGGACTGCCAGTCTTGGTACCTAAGCTCATGCTGCCGGGGGCCCCGGGGGGGGGCCAGACGCACACGCACACACGGCTCAGCTGCATATGCATGGGTGCATGCGCACACAAGGGCAGGCGCACAGCCCAGGAGCCAGGGCTTGGGGGCATGAGCTCCCGTCCACGGGCAGAGGTTCTGGGGCTGTGCCTGGGACACAGGAGGGCAGGAGGCCAAGGGCGGGAGGCCGGGGGGGGCATGTCCTGCGGTCTGCAGTCTGCACTTACTTTACAGTGTGTGTACCAACACCTCGAAAGTTGTCTGCTGGCCAGAAGAAGGTAAGCTGCCCTCTGCGTCGACCACGACGTGGCCCCCAGGAGAGCCCCCAGGCTGCCTGCCCTGGATTCTGGGGGTGGGGCTCTGTCTCATCCTCTCCTAACCCCCTGGCCCCCCAGGGGTCTTTCCTGGCTCAGAGCTGGCTCCGACTTGTAGCAGCCTCCCCACGCTTGTGATGGGAGCCAAGGTCACCCCTCTGCCATCCAGCTTCTGTGCCCTGATGGGGGGCCCCTTTGGGGTCTGGAGGTGGAGTCCCGAGGGGGAGTTGGCCCGGCATTTGTTGGAGCGGGCGGGAGCCTGGGGGGTTCTTGGGAGTCTCTGTCTTGTTCCTGCCGTGTTGACCTGGGCCTTCCCTCCTGCCCCCCAGGGAAGATTCTCAACTACACCCAGGACGGCTTCTTCTGCTACTGGGAGATCTGTGGCCCCAACGGGACAGTGGAGAGATACTTCAACATCTGCACAACCTCAACCTCCCGGCCGCCCTCCACCACGATCCCCGTTACCACCAGTACCCCCCTCACCACCACCACCACCACGCCGACCACCACGCCGACCACCACCATCACTACCACTCCAACTACCACGCCGACCACCACCATCACCACCACTCCAACCACCACGCCAACCACCACGCCGACCACCACCATCACCACCACTCCGACCACCACGCCGACCACCACGCCGACCACCACCATCACTACCACTCCAACCACCACGCCGACCACCACTCCGTCCACCACGCCAACCACCACCATTACCACTACTCCGACCACCACGCCGACCACCACCATCACCACCACTCCGACCACCACGCCGACCACCACGCCGACCACCACTCCGACTACCACACCAACCACCACCATCACTACCACTCCAACCACCATGCCAACCACCACCATCACCACCACTCCAACCACCATGCCGACTACCACGCCGACCACCACCACCACAGGCACACCAACCTCGACTCCCACCATCACCACCACCACAGCCACAGAGACCCCAACCCCAAAACCTACTCCGACCACCACGACCACCTCGACGTCCACACCTACTCCAGAACCCCCGACCACCACCACCACCACGCCTACCCCAGGATCAACCACCACAGGGCCAACAATCTCTCCCTGTGTGCCTCACTGCAACTGGACGGGCTGGCTGGATTCAGGTAAACCAAGCTTTACGAAACCGGGTGGAGACATTGAATCGATTAAGGATGTCTGTAAAGGAGGATGGGCAGTCAACATCTCCTGCAGAGCCACGCAGTTTCCCAACATTCCCATCGGAGAACTTGGGCAAAACGTGCTGTGTAACCTCTCTGTTGGGCTGGTGTGTAGAAATGAAGACCAGAATCCAGGGGGGATCATGCCGCAGCCCTTCTGCCTCAACTATGCGATCAATGTCCAGTGCTGTATATTGCCTGACGAATGTATCTCCAAACCTTCTCCTACCACCACCCTGACCACCACCTCCACCATCACCACCACCACGGGCACCCCGACCCCAACCCCCACCATCACCACCACCACAGGCACCCCGACCTCGACACCCACCATCACCACCACCACAGGCACAGAGACCCCAACACCCACCATGACCACCTCTCCAACCACCACCATGACCACCACTCCAACCACCACCACCACGGGCACTCTGACCCCGACCCCCACCATCACCACCACTCCTACCACCACCAGCACAGGCACCCCAACCCCAACCCCCACCATCAGCCCTACCACGGGCACTGAGACCCCGACCCCCACCATCACCACCACTCCAAGCACCACCACTTCTACCACCACTACCACGGGCACTGAGACCCCGACCCCCACCATCACCACCACTCCAAGCACCACCACTTCTACCACCACTACCACGGGCACACCAACTCCGACCCCCACCATCACCACCACTCCAAGCACCACCACTTCTACCACCACCACGGGCACACCAACTCCGACCCCCACCATCACCGCCACTCCGAGCACCACCACTTCTACCACCACCACGGGCACACCAACTCCGACCCCCACCATCACCACCACTCCGAGCACCACCTCAACCACAACCACCATGGGAACTACAACCCCAACCCCCACAATCAGCACTACCACGGGCACTGAGACCCCGACCCCCACCATCACCACCCCTCCGAGCACCACCTCGACCACAACCACCACAGGAACCACAACCATCACGGGCACACCAACTCCGACCCCCACCATCACCACCACTCCGAGCACCACCTTGACCACAACCACCACAGGAACCACAACCCCAACCCCCACCATCAGCACTACCACGGCCACTGAGACCCCGACCCCCACCATCACCACCACTCCAAGTACCACCACTTCTACCACCACCACAGGCACACCAACTCCGACCCCCACCATCACCACCACTCCGAGCACCACCTCGACCACAACCACCACAGGAACCACAACCCCAACGCCACCCATCACCACCACTCCGAGCACCACCAGTTCTACCACCACCACCACAGGAACCCCAACCTCAACCCCGACCATCAGCACTACCACGGGCACTGAGACCCTGACCCCCACCATCACCACCACTCCAAGCACCACCACGACCACCACCACCATGGGCACACCAACTCCGACCCCCACCATCACCACCACTCCGAGCACCACCTCGACCACAACCACCACAGGAACCACAACCCCAACCCCGACCATCA